CAAATGAAATTCCTCATTGGATTTCAAGTAACTGCTTACATCGTGATGACATAATGAGGTTAACTTTTGACGATGATTAAATGAAGTATAGGTATAACGTGAAAAAAAGTTTAAGCTAAAGATACCTTAAAGTAGATATTTTCAAGAAGTATGAATATTATAATATGTAAGTATATTAGTATTTGCCTTTACTAATTATCAAAATGACTATACGTTTTTGTCTTTTTAGTACGACTCAGTTCAATTTCTTTTGTTGTGTACGTTTGATTAACATTATCAATTAATTATGCACGATCAATTGACACAAACATGATTAAATTGACCTAGAAAGATTTGTAATTTTTGACAGTCTTCAGGCACTAAGCCATTTATGTGGAGACGTTCTTTTTTAATTGAACTAAATTTATATAATGAAGTGTTTGCATGTATCCGACGTGTAAAGTTATTGTATACACTACTTAATAAATTTGATAGTATTCTATATCCCTTCTCCTGTTCCGCAATACCTTCTTTCCTTTCAATTTTTTGTAAATTATGTTTTCGTTTTGTATATATCCGAAGAACTGCTTATAATTAGTATCACTCTATGGATAACAAATTTATACCAAAAGTTGTTATGTCACATGAATATCTACTGAGTTATTTCATAAAACAAAATGATATAAATAAAAGTTTTTTAACCTTTTCCTTTTCTCTAACATACTATCAGTAACTATAATATAAGTTTTTCACACTCTCTCTCTCTCTCTCTCTCTCTCTCTCTCTCTCTCTCTCTCTCTCTCTCTCGTCTTTTATAAAAATTAGTTATCTTATTAAAAACCTTATATAATTCAGACTTATCTGAAGTTATTTACGCTGTTCTATGAAATAAAAAAAATGAGACAAATGCTTGTAAAGATCTTGTTTGTTAACAAACTAGAGGATTAAGGACTCTAACATAACACAGCGTGACGCATCATTCTAATTAATTAATGTTTGCAAGACGTCAATTAAAGTGAGGTGTAAATATTTCTGCACGATGAAAGCAGTAACCGAAGAGTATGTTAACGGAAACTGTGTACATGACGCATTTTCTTAGCGAGCTTTACTTAACGCATTTTCTTTAGGGAGAATAAACTTATTGAATATATCTATAATTATTTTCTGAATTAAAAGTGGGTGTTTTAGCGAAATCCCATAATGATAATGCACAGGTTGACGTATTGTGTGTTACCGCATAAGTGTATAAACCGCAACAGCGCGCATATGCCTGTTGCACGCAGTTACTGCCAGAATTAATAAACACGAAAATAGCTAGCGCTTTAATCCCGATGTATTTATCACGTAACGCATCGAATGTATTGAAATCAAATTTGCAATAGGCTTTCGTAGCAGTAATTCGAACAAACTAGCAAAAATTGACTTTCTCGTTCCATTACGCCATTAATTTACATCCGGTAGATAACAATATTGATCCTACATCGTAGCGGTGAGATATAATGCGCATCAATCCTAATACCACGTATTTTACACATGGATATTAAACGCTGCATTCTGCATGCCTTTTTAAATATGAATTTCTCATAGTATCTGATCTTGTGTCGCCACAATCAGCAATTACGATTAATCTTTAATTAAGCTATTTAATTATGTAGTTAATTTATTTTGTTACACACAATAATATAATGTTTGTTGTGGATACCATAATTAATAATTTGGTTATTGTAGAAGATAACTATATAATACGATATCAAAATACTTGAAATACCTTTATCGCTACATTTTGCTTGCATTTGTTATTGACATATAACGCAACTTATTGACAAATAACATTAACAGATAAATATCAATAAAAATTTTATTTAAAAAGTTCATAGAAATAATTTTTTTAAATTATATAATATATATTGTATAATATATATATATTGTACCCTTTTAATTAAAGAGTTGTCTCCATTTCCCGAATATGTTGAAGAAATTTTGAAGTGTTAAATTTGATGCGGTTTTAATATTAAATTTTAAACATCCGAGTTCTCTCTTTGCTTACGATTATAAAGTGATACTTGACATTCTCCAGTATTCGTTTTGAGTTTTGATGCAATTTTCTATTTATAACTGTACATGCGTATAAACAGTTTTGGCGCAAAGAGGAGCACGAGGCTTACATAAATCTCATCATCGACAGATGCTTTCATGTAATCTATATCTGTCAGACGTGTATGAGCAAACTGAATATTTCAGCAAGCTGTGCTTCAATTGACAATTATACGTATAATTATATAAAACAATATATAAAACAATATATATGTTCAACAGTTTTCCATCGAATGGAAGTTTAATATCTGCATACATACAGATAAAATAGGTAATAGATGGATTGAAATCTTCTTCTAAATGTGAGTTATCTCGAGTCTTTTGACGCAAAGAATTCAGTCGAAGAAATGAATAAAACATGACAGGGCAAATACATCGCACGGTGTTTTACTTTAAAATTAAATTAAGGCCAAATTTAGTTTAAACTGTATTGGTTAACCTTCTTATTAATATATTCGATTACATGTAACACATTTTGAGTTGTTTTATGAGATTATAATTACATTTTTCGATATTGGTGTAAACATGATTTGTAATGCATACTAAAAGCTATTAAAATATGTACGAGGTCATATTAATGTTTATGTCTGTGTATACATACATACACAAAAAAGGAATATTTTCTTTAGAGAGAATAAATAACGTACTTATATATATTTATTTATTAGTCGACTTAATCGATAGTAATATAAATTTATATTTATATTAGAATACACGTGTATGTATACATGCATGATGTTAACAAGAGCTATAAGATGTGTAAGCCCATTACTGGAATAACATAATAAATGATTATTGAAATATTCTATCTTGTTGCATGTATCAATCGAGATTTTCCATTTAAATTGTTTCCAAATTTCGTACTTTGTAACTTTAAAACTTTGAAATTTGACGATGAAACAATTTCGAACGTTCTATTGAATTAGTGCTTAGACGGCCGATTAATGTGACTTTATAGTTTTATATATATAGAGTGAATAGAAATGTGTTGGAGGAATATATAGAAGCAAATTGAATGTGGGTCACAATTTTAGATTAAAAAACGTAATTATTGGAAAAAGAATTTCACGAATAAGTCTTCTATTAAAAAAATTTTTTTATTTGAAAAATTTTCTGTATAAAATCGAGTTTTTAGTACTCCTTATTCCTCCTGCTAAAAATATAATACTTTTACAAACAAATCTAATAATTATGTCTTTCCCTCTGTCTGCAATTTGGTTCTTTCTGGCGCGCGCGCGCACACGCGCACGCACACACCTACTACACACACACGCGCGCGCGCGCGCGAAATTTTCTTTCTCAAATTTCTCCAAAATAAAGGAGAGTGCAATGGAGTCCAATTCTCCCTCTCCAAAATATTTTGTAAAATCTATTTGTAATGGAATATCAAGAAGTTAAAAAGTAACCTTAAATTTTTTCATATTTTTTAGAAGCCTAGGATAGTAAAAAAATTTGAGCAGGACAAAAAACCTAGATTGCAAACGGAGAGAGTAAAAATACGATTGTATAGATAGAAGGCTAAATATGTAGGATTAAATACCATCACAATAGTAATTACAATTACGATTGTTACAGAAATATACCTTGCTAATTTTTGCGCGTGGTGGGATTCAAAACAGCCTAACAAAAAAATCAGGTAAGACTTTTTCATCTTACACGATATTTTTAAAATATAATTATATATTTATAATATAATTTATTTGTAAATTAAATGTTCTAATTCTTAATTAATTGAATCTAATTACTATTTTAGGAGCAACTTTTGTATACTTCTATTATGTCAATTTAATAATGAGATATTAATCATTTTTATTAAAAAACTGGAGATTTAGAAATGCAAGTAAAAAAATTATCTAAAGTAAATTATTTTCACTAATATTTATTATTTATAATATTAAAAATTATAAATAATTATGACTGACCTTATATTCACGGGAAAATTTGTAGTCGAAAACAGAGAGAAAATATGCGATTCGTGGACTGTATTCACAACTAATCTAATAGGGTAGAGCGGGGGACTATTTGAGCATAAAAGCAAATTGGTCAAATGCAAATATCTAAATAACTAAAATATTGATACGTCTATGCTTGCGTAATGTAGTAGACAGAGATTACTGTGCCTTAATACAATAATCTGTGTCCGGCTTTCAACAGCCAAATATATGTGCTTTTTCGTTTTTGTATATCAAAAGTAAAATTATTAGATGAATATTCTTTTTGGTCTACATGGTAATTAAAGCGATTAGTAACAATCAAATGTATTTTTTAGATATAAATTATTATCATATTTTTTAACTTTAATGTTCAAATTGCTATTTTATTTATGATTTTTCAGTTATAAAAAAGTATTTCAGTTAACACCGATATGGAGCTTGTTAGGTCAGTATCTCATAACTAACCTTATAAACTCAGCTGCTTAAATGAAATCTTTATCAATGCTTCCTATTCTATGTTAATGATTAAACATATATTTTACGTTTAATGATTATTATAAAGAGTAAAGATTTTAGTTTTTCTAACTTTGTTAATTAAAGCATTTAAAAAGAAAGAGTATTACAAATTATACTCTTAAGATGAAAATATATATATGGTCTGTTTATATCGTTAAAGATTTTCACAATATAACTTGATGAAGTTGTAGCCTTATCTTTAATCATTTCTATCATTTTATCTACAATAATGATATATCTAATCAATATGCAGTATTTAAAAATTATTTTTTTATAGTTTGATCCTTTTTACTTGAACATATGATTTATGTTCAAGTACATCCCAGATAACATTTATGCATGTTACCTGGGATATTTTTATGTTATTCTGCAATTTCGCTTCGATTTCATCTTTTTTATATCAAGAGCGTCAACAAAAAAAGCAACAAAAATATTTCTTTTGTTAAAAGCAACAAAAACATTTTTTTTTTGTTACAGATGACGATAATAGAAGATATTTTTAATATGAGCTCCGAAATGGAGTACGATTATGAATATGACTATGTGCCGGTTGCTGAAAGAGTTGAGACTTATATCATACCCGTAATATTTTTATTAATTTTGATTGTGGGTGTAATAGGAAATGGTATTTTAATTCTTATTTTGTTACGTCATACCAGCATGAGAAATATACCAAATACATACGTGATGTCTTTAGCTCTGGGCGATTTATTGGTGAGCATACAGCTTTGTGATTACGCTTCCTTTGTTTTTTTAATTTCTGTCTAGTTCAAGAAGAGTAAAAATTGTTTGGGATAAATAATCTTTTTATTTTAAATATAAGCATAATATCCATATATAAAAGAATAAAATATGTATATCTCTCAAAGATAAAAGTAAGAAAAATAAAAAAATATATTTCCTTAGGAATGAATTTTCCTGAAAAATATATTTACAATTAAAATATACATACATATTGTTATGCTTTATGCTTGAACTTTCTATCCTCAAATAATTTTTACTTACAAGAGAAAAAGTATATCCTTTGCCTTCTGAATATATTGTATTTATAATTATCCTGATTTTCCCGGATAATTTATTATATCTTTTGTAATATAAAATATCATCTGAATCTTGAAAAGATAATTCGTTGTTACAGGTGATTATGACTTACATACCTTTCACATTATTTGTTTATGTACTTGATTCATGGCCATGGGGCTTAACTATCTGCAAATTATCTGAATACGCTAAGGATATTTCGATTGGTGTATCGGTATTTACTTTAGCCGCTTTATCAGCCGAAAGGTAAATATGTAAACTAAAAATTTTGTCATGCCATGCAAATTAATTCAAGGAATTAAAGAAAAGTTTATTTAGTTAGACGATTACTACGAATATCCGTCGCTTAATCGAGAGACTAAAATTGAAAATTCAGTCATAATATTACATATTCAAGCATTAAATCGAATTTTAAAATTAACTTGTTACACACGATTGGATCATCTGTATCCTGCGTACCTATTTCTCTTCTTTGAAATATTAGGAGCAATTTACTTTTATTAATTATTTATTAATGTTTTAAAAACATTGTCTGCTGATTGGGATTAAGTGAAAGATTAATTTAGGTAAAAATTGAGACACAATCTGATCTAAGATACGCAAATTAATTGTTGTTTGTATCTTGAATAATTTATCTTTGAAATAAGCAAGCTTCTGCTGCTTTTATGATATAATCTATTGCTGCATCTCACGTTCTCATAGATATTGCGCCATCGTAAACCCTATTCGTCGCCACGTGGCGGGTTTAAGCGCAAAACCACTTACCGTTTTAACGGCATTCCTTATTTGGGTCTTAGCGATTGTCATAGCTATGCCCGCCGTGCTCTTCTCCGAAGTAACGTCTGTACCTGTATTAGGAAATCGTAGCATTTTAATCTGCAATCCTTTCCCTAAAGAATTTGGTAAGTCATGGTACACTTCTCTTGAAATATCACAAAATTAGGAACACATAAATGAATGTGCAAATTGTAAAATTCATAATGAAATTTTAATCAGTTTATACGATAATATCATTTTTACTAATTAAAAAATTTTTTTTTAGATACGAATGAAACATATTTATTATAATGATAAAATATTAATTTATTAATTATATTATATTAAATTTATTGATTTACAAAATATCTGCATTTTTACATATATAATTTACTGTGAGTAAGAGATTAAATATATTGTTATTATTGTCGACATCCGCGTTGGTTCTTATTGATTTATCTTTCCCTCAAAATTAATAACGTTTGCATTTTTATCTTTTCTGAAAGTTAAATATTTCTCCTAATCAGAGCCTTTATTTATTATATTCGGAACTTAAATATTATTACACAGTATTTTATTTTAATACATTGAATAATATAAAAACTAAATTAGGTACACTAAAAAAATATATATAAATTTTATAAAACGCTTTGTGTTGTGAAGTAGTCGCGCACAGATAAATCCCAATAAACGCAATGTTACATGTAACAT